TAAAATGTTATCTTTGGAACCGCGCACTTTGAGCTGTCTGCAGTTCTTTCAGCCTTAGTCGCTTAAACTTGCCAGATGTGGTTTATTTTCTACATCTGTTCACAGTTGTGAATTTTCTTTTTTTGATATAGTTAGGGTTGGATCCGGCGACCCTGAGACCTTACTTAGTTTTACTGTGTGGAATTAAAGAAATTATTTTACAGCTACAATATATCCTGCAGCATTAATATTGCATTAACAATATAATCTACAGCATTGACATTGCATTAAGATGGTTATTAAACCTGCTGGCTTTACATTAACCTTTTATTACAGGGGCAGCCATAATAATTGTATACGCACATTTTGTGGTTATTAAAGAGTTAAAGCTCAGTCAATTAAGGAAAGGTCATAAACCTCGTTCGGCGCGATGTCCGGGCGATCTATTGTGTAAGTGACTTGGAGCTATAGAAGGTTAAAACTGCATACACGCTTACAAAACATATAGTACATATAATCTAGAAACAGGCCTGAGCAAAGGCCTGAAACTATTCAGCAACCTGTGGCGTTTGAGTCAAAGGAGCTTGCAAAGAAAAGCGTCTGGACTTCTTTAAGTTGCTTGAAGACGTTTCACCTCTCATCCGAGAAGCTTCTTCAGTTCGCTTAGTAACAGGTGACAGAAGATGTGTCAAAAAGAAGACAAGTCCCTGGGGACCTTCAGGGCCTGGATTCATCGCCATATTTGGACGAAGATGCTAGGGAGGGGAACTTCGGTGTCTGCATTTATCTCTTAAAATTGATCGTTGTCTGTAAAAAATGCAAATAATGTTCTTAAGATGCAAAAACGCGAGAAGGGGTGTCAAACCCTGACATTATAAAAGCAATTGCTTGTGTATTTTTGGGTGGAGATCTATGCTGATTGTGTGCAATATCCATCTCCCTGTGTTCAATAAAATCATTGTTTGACCACACTCTTCGGGACCAGTGTTGTTTTGTTTTCCTCCTCAATATCTTCGAGTTCGGGACAACTGCAATAGGTGTAGACTGCTACTGAGTGTTTCTTCTTCACTCTATATGGGTTTATACACCTCTCTGCATTTAATCATTGGTTATTATTAATCTCCGGCTCTTTTCCACAGTGTGTTTTTGTCCCGTCTCCTTCCCCTCACCCCCAGCCTCCCTGAGTCTGGTTTTGCCAGAGGTTTCTTCCCGTTAAAAGGGAGTTTTTTCCCCACTGTCGCCAAAGTGCTTGCTGATAACAGGTCATCTGATTGTTGGCGTTTTCTCTGTATTATTGAGGCAACTTTGTTGTGATTTGGCACTATGTAAATAAAATTTAACTTGGCCTCTATTTTGCCACAGCAAATTTTAAATAAACCAAGACATGATTGAAGTTCAGTTTTAATTCAAGAATCTATTTCATGAAATGTTTAGTAATTTGTTACACCCCAGCCCAGGGAACCGGCGTGCGACATAAGGAAAATAAAAATAAGGAAAAATGCCCCCACACTCCCTGCTCTCAAGGAGGACGAACCAACAAAAAACAGCTACCACGGATTTCACAACAGCCAGTCAGTTTATTGAGTCCCAAAAGGTAGCAGGCATCAGGGTGAGCATAGCCAAAACAACAAACAGAAACTCTAGAAATGAAATGCAGCTGGCTTACCTTCACAGAAAACCCCAAACAAAAATCACAGGTATCTTACCTGCCTCCCTAACCAAAAACAGGAGAAAAGATTGCCAAAGAAAAATGGCTTCTCACCCCTACAGCTACCGAGTTAAAACAGTATCGACAACTATTTACATCTATATACAGCAAACTATTTACAACACAGGGGGAGATCACAAACATGACAAACTGAAACACAGGGCTTAAATACATAGAGGGAGCAATCAGGGAATGGACAACAGGAGGGAAACACAGCTGGGGCAAATCAGAACTGACGAGACAAGGAAGCGTAACCTGAACACACTGAGATAAGACAGACCTTCAAAGTAAAACAGGAAACACATAACAGTCACGCCTAAAACAAAACACTGACAACATCGAATCATAACAAATTACAGTCACTTTTATACATGGATACATGTCATTGACCACCTGTATATATTCAAGATTCAAGAAGTTTATTGTCACATACACCGTAAAACACAAATGTTAAGCTGCAATGAAATTCTTACTTTGCGAGTTCCCTTTAACACAACTAAATAAACAACTAACTAAAAAAAACATAAAAAAACTCTAAGCATAAAAAATAATAGAATAAAGCGAGTGCTATGGACACTCGCTTTATTACTTGCACCTATTTAGAAGTGCAAGTAGTTATGCAACACTGTCACAGTGTTAACATAATCAGATTATGCAAATATTAAAATTGTTTAAATTGTATGTAGTTGTATTATGATCACATGAAAGAAACAGAACCCACACATGACTGTGGTAAGAGTTCAGGCTGAAACAGGAAGCATGTGAAGACAAACATGTTTATTAAGTCCATTTCCTGCTGATGGGCTGTAATCAGTTGATTCTGAGCGCAGATGCTATGTGCAACTGCAGCTGTGTCCGATCTCATTTGTACTGAGTGCGGCGATGATGTCAACAGTGTGTCACTATTCAGAGAATTGGCAGCATGTTGGCAGACAGAGGATGAGGAGGAGGAAGTCTAACCAAAGCAGCAGATTGACAATAATAGAAGAAACATGAAGGAAGCAGCTGATCTAATGTTCTCCATTAAAGCACCCTGAGAGGATTATTACTGAGTGTACCGAGCTCTAATGAGCACTCAGATCATAACTGACAGCACAGAGGCAAACACGACTACTTTTACTGATTAAGGAACAAAATAAAGGCACATTGAATAAATTTACAATTTACTTTTTTTATCCACATAGTTAATTTTTTTTATTTTTATTTGAACTCACGCAGGCTTATCGAATCAATCGGTCCTGTTTCCTAGATCAGTTCATTTACCACTCTGGGCTGGTAAGAAAAAAGAAGACCAAATTCAGTTAAACCACTATGTGAAAACATTTCAGGCTGGACAAGAACCTAGCCTGCCTTTATATCCTCCTCTGTCATCTATTCTGCAAACAAAGGTACCAAATATCTCAAAAATAACGACAAAAAAGAACCAAAAAAATCACACCAGGGAAGAGTTTGAGCAGGGAGATCCGTACTGGGTCATCTGCCCAACGCTGAGGACCTTAGGTCTTCTCAGAGTCGAGGTGGAGCACAAATCTACTCCAACTGGGAGAAGAAGGTTTCCTGAACACACGCTTCTAAAACTGGTTCTGCAGACCTGAAGTGTCACATCTGCTGCTGCTTCTGCAGGATTACTGTGTTTCAGTAACACAGTGATTCTGTGTTCATGTGTTGCTCTCTCTGACCTCGCTCTCCCTTTTCCTTGCTGCAGATATCTCTGGCTCCAGGGCTTATCTGTCGTATCTGCGGTTACTAGCCTCTGCTTTTTTGTTTGTTTTGCCTTTCTGTTGTCTCCTTGTCTTTTTCACATTCCCCACAACTGGTTTTATTAAAGATTTCTTCTTATTAAAAGGGAGTTTTTACCTTTACCCAGGCAGTATCTGGGTTTCCCTCTGTAAAACACCCGCTGCCAGTCTTTCTATCTTACAAGACTAAGTACCCTGAGGTGATATTTGCTCTGATTTTGTACTAGAAAATAAAGAAAAAGATAAAATAAATAGTTTCCACATAGAAGAATATTGTGTTTTCTATTAGACACTCAACTGTCTGTCCAGTTTTTGATATATTCCTCATTTGTTTTTGTCGTATATAGATGAAAATGGACAGAAGTTACCTTTACGACATAATCACCATACTAATAGATGCCCCAACCCCCTGCTATACAGTCTCACGTATAGTTTAAATTAGCCTTAGAGCTTCCATCATGCTCCATTTGATGTATCTCTGCAAGGTCGCGGGATGATGCACATGCACAGCGGGTGCCATTCCATACCAAACCTGTGGGTCATGTGACCTTCTTCCTGTCCAGGGGTCTTTAAATTGCCCCTCGTCATCTCAGAGAGTCACAGTGAAGAGTCACAGCAACAGGTGAGTCACATCTCCGTCTGGTTCTCTTCTGATTCAGTTTATGTAGGAAGTAAATAAGATTTTATTTATGATTAAAACTGAAGTTTTATTTAAGCCTTCTGGTGTATTAGTGACAATAACAGGAATATTATGCTGTAAAAGAGATTTTTCCAGGGATACAATTTTGTTGTAGAAATAAACATCCACAGTTATCTTTTTATTATTACAGTTGTGTTTTTGATAATTTAAAAAATAAGTTTAATAAAAAGTCAAATTCAGCAGTGTAAAATTATTTTAATAAAACAAAGTGGAACTATGCAGCCTAGTACTAAATGTCCTTTGCACCACTAATGAAACCCAGCAGGAATGATTTTGTTTTTAGCTGCTGACGAGCTTCACTGTGGATGTAAATGACAACGTGCTTAATGAGAATCTCTCCTTGCTTTATGCATGACTTGTTTTCATCATACAGGAAAGTGATTAAAACCAGTGCTGTGGGTTATTGCTAAGGAAGAAAGGGAGATGTAATTTAATATTTTACGGAACAATATTTAATTTGTTTTCCTCCAAGGTTTGCAATCTGCTCAGTGTGGAAATTTCAACAGATTTGGTTATGCATAAGAATAATACTCTGCTGGTTCTAATCTGAAAAAAGAAACACTTGGTGCTGAAATTTATAACTAACATACTCAAACTTATGTGCTGAAAATAAAGAGAAATTCACAAACCAGCAGGTTAGTTTATTTCACGTGGGATCAGATCATATCTGTTATCAAACTTACTCCAACAAGCTCCAAATCCAAAACTTGTTTGGTAGAAAATTTCACACATGTTAGTTGTCTTTGTATCAACTAATGAAGGTTTTTGAATGTCTGTGTCTGTTTTCCTCCTTCAGAGACTCTTGTTGGAGAAACTGAGGATTGTGGGAGTTGTGGTGCAGGTTTTTCTTCTTCTTTTGTCTGCCAGCAGCAGGATGTTTGGCACTGTGCTGCTCTGCTGTTGGTCCTTCGGTCTGCTGCCGCTCGCCTCCTCGCTGGTTCATGGAAACTTACCGCTCGATGAAGGTCCTGTCGCTGGACGTCGCACTGAAACCTCCTTCCTATCTGAAATCGGTCAGTAACATCTCTTCATTCAGAGAGCTCCAACCACTGTCTCTCCAACACACCACGGTTGGCAGGATTAATCCGTTTAACAGTGGAAGCATGAATATTTATAGATAGAAAAAGTAGACCTCTGAACATATAGTTTTCTGTTTTGTCACTATTTTTTTTTTTTTACATCACATCTAGTAAGCCCAATCTTTTACATTTGACTGCAGTTATTTTGAAGTATTTTGAAATTGATTTTTCACATTCAGCAGATTAAACACAATGGATTACGGTAAGCAAAAAAAATGCAAAATACATTCTGCTGTGTTTTCTGATTTGCAGAAAGAAGTCAAGTACCTGACCGCATGCACGAGCCTGCCCTCCTCCCTGTGGACTCTGTAGAAGATCATTTTTTGATGGATACAGGCTCCTATGATGAGGTGCAGCATTTAAACCAGCAGTTTACTCTTTACCTCGTGACTCCCTGTTAACAGGTTTACCTTAACAAAGTGAATTCATCTGCTTGCTGCGTTTATGTTTGCAGGACACGTCTGCAGCCTTACAGCTGCAGGGTCGGGCCATGCGTTCACCTCGTCGCTGCATCCCTCACCAGCAGTCCTGTTTGGGCTACCCGCTTCCCTGTTGTGATCCCTGTGACACCTGCTACTGCCGCTTCTTCAACGCCATCTGCTACTGCCGCCGAGTTGGCCACGTGTGCCCCCCAAGACGCACCTGATAACAAGCTGCTGTGATGAGGAGCGAAGGCAGAGACTCATACAGCAAATATGATCTGTGATCTTTTTGTTTTGTGTCGCATTAAATGTGCTGTAATAAATAACTGATGAGGACAGTGTGTGTAATCATATCAGTGTAACCTGAAGATGTGAAAACACATCTCTATATATCTATCTATGTATGTATATATATAGATATATATATTATATATGTGTGTGTGTGTAGATGCATATGAATTACTGAATGAAGAAAGACAAAGAAATCTATGTGTGGATTGTGCTTTAATCTTGTAAGGAAGTCAAAAAGTGATGCCCACAATCATAACTCTTAACTATATCTCATTCATATTAACGTGTGTTTCTTTATCAATTAAGGAGCATAAAATATTTGGTTTTTTACCATAAAAAATAGTTTTTATTCACTGCTTCTAGTATTTATGTATAGCTAGGCCAACCTGATCCTGGTGCTGCTAAACACCAGGCAAGTCCAACGTAATAAAACTCTTCTGGAGTTCACCACACTTCATTCACCGAATGCTCGATGTCTTAAAATGAATTTCTACAGAAGAGTTTATGTTGGGTCATTTGTCCATTTTTGTCAATGAATACATTAATAATGTTTCTTTAATAGTTGTGATAATTTGTCTGGTCACATAATAAAAACATGAAGATGAATATTAAGGAGAAAAAGACACGTTCTCGAGCAGGTCATTTTCATTGTTTCTGTGTTTTATTGAGGACTAGCTTGGTGCTGAAACCTCTCATATGTGACATGCTCAGTTGGCAGCGATGGTCTGGTCGATCCAGGCACGCAGCTTGGTGACACGGGCATAGACTCCAGGAGTGGAGGTAGAGCAAGTTGAGCTTCCCCAGGACACAATACCAACCAGAGTCCAGGCTCCAGATTTCTCACAGACCAGAGGACCACCAGAGTCACCCTGAGAAATAACACATGGATTTTTAACACAATATAAGAAGCTCAGGATCAGTGCTTCTGTAATTGATGGAGGTCCCACTCACCATGCAGGAGGAGGCTCCGGAGGCTCCAGCGCAGATCATCAGATCAGTGATTTTGCTGCCCCAGTAAGACTGGCAGTTAGTGTTGGTCAGCAGGGGCAGGGCAGCCTGCTGCAGACGGGGTGGTGTGTTGGCAGCTGCAACACACACACAAACACATCAGACATTAGAGACTTTTTTATCATGCTCTATCATTCCTCGTGTTTTAGCACAACTGTTAAAGCTCCACCTGGTGGTCTCATTACAGTCCAAACCCACTTACGGTATATGTGATTGTTTGGAATGAATCCCTATCTAATAATTGTTTAACCGATCAGTGTCTACGAGGACATAATAACAAAGAATAACAGGTGGGTGAGCTCTTACCGTTGTAGCGGGTCAGACCCCAGCCAGTGGTCACACACTTCAAGCCTCCGGGGAAGTTGTCGGAAGTCTCGGCCACACAAACTGGGGAAACACGTGTGCCCAGTTGGGCAGGGGTGGCCAGCTTGATGAGTGTGATGTCGTTGTTGATGGTGTAACTGTTGTAGTTGGGGTGCCTGAACACCTGTTGGGAAGTGACATCGTTATGAGCGGCCAACAAACCCTGACATGTAGCTATGCGATGAAAGCTGATGCAGTGTTTCACCCACCTTGCCGGGAGCCAGGGTCTGGATGTTCTCGGCACTGGAGGAACGGTCGTGCTCTCCGAGGATCACACGGTCGGAGGTCCTGCACAGAAAAGAACAGAAGCATGTGGGCATTTCTGAGATCACCACATTACCTGAAAACTGTTTTTACTTAGTTTTATTCTACCCCAGATACACAGCAATGCCCTCTAAACAAGGATTCTCCTCATCAAACATGACTCTACGTCTTAATTGGAGTTTTCAGTCAAAACCAGCTTAAAGTTACCTGATGGTGCAGTGAGCAGCTGTCACCACCCAGTTCTCATTGATGAGAGAACCACCACAGAAATGGAAGCCGGTGTAGTCCTGTTACAGCAAAATGAACATCAACGGTTAGACATTTCCATCTGATTGTGTGGTGAGCTGTGACAGCGTCTTTGTTTCTTCATTTACCTGGAGGGACACCTGCCAGGGCCAGGAGTGAGGCACTGCCTCCTCACCGTTCACAATGCGGGCGTAACCGGTGATGACAGGACGGATGGCGGGAACTCCGCACCCTGGTGACATCAGAACATCAGGATTATGCCATTAATGAAAATAAAATTAATGTAACTGTCACATTGGCACTAACTGTAAAATTAAACAACATGTTTCTCTCTAATGCTGATCTGCTTAAAACATAATGACACATATACGCCACACAGATCTCTCAGCTGGACCAGATTGTTTAATCCACAATCTGAGAGCTACTTTTCCACAGTTAAAGTTTTATTGTATTTTCATATCATGTTGCATTATGTGATTAAACTGATATAACGCTTTGATTTCCCCATTCTTGAACATTTTTTTTATACCGTCTTCTACTTTTTCTTTCTTCGCATGTAATTCTTAACGTAAGTCAATAAACGAGTCATTAAAATGGAAAAAAAGGAGAATAAATTACAATATATCCGTCACTGCTTCGAAAAAAGACAATTTACAACATGCTTCACCCAATGAGCTATAACCTTAAAGAGTTTGTCTCACCGTAGGCGGTGCCAATGAAGGCGAGGCAGGAGAGGATCCACAGGAAGGCCATGGCTAGATCATGTCAGGGCAACCTATTGGAGGAGCTTTTATACAGCAGCAGTGTGATGTGATTGGATGGAACCAGGGTGGTTACATCTTATCTGGACAGTGGGAGTTTTAACAGGTGATGCTGACAAAGAGCTAAGTTTGATTTTCCAATGTGAGGGACCATGACATTTACACGTGCAGCTGATTCACTGTAAAGGAGTGAAAGAACTCCTTGACTGAGGCTAAAAATAAAGATTTACATCACCATTGACTAATCTTTTATTTTATATATATATATATATATATATATATATGATGTAACTGACAGTGTGCTTAATGAAAACATCTACTGTGTGTTATTGCTAAGAAAGAAAGGGAGATGTATTTAAATATTTTACTGAACAATATTTAATTTGTTTTTTTCTCCAAGGTTTAGACTTTGAAATAATCCTTCTTTATTTAGAGTGGAAATTTCAACAGATGTTACCCACTTCAGTTATACATAAGAATAATAATCTGTTGGTTCTTATCTGAGGGAGAAAAAAAACACCTGGTGCTGAAATTTATAACTAACATACTCAAACTTATGTGCTGAAAATAAAGAGAAATTCACAAACCAGCAGGTTAGTTTATTTCACGTGGGATCAGATCATATCTGTTATCAAACTTATTCCAACAAGCTCCAAATCCAAATCTTGTTTGGTAGAAAATTTCACACATGTTAGTTGTCTTTGTATCAACTAATGAAGGTTTTTGAATGCAGAGAATGAATAAAAAATGTGACTTGGAAGTTTTGGCGTTCCCCCTCTTTCAGGTAAACTGAAGGCTGTGTCTGTTTCCTCCTTTCAGAGACTCTTGTTGGAGAAACTGAGGATTGTGGGAGTTGTGGTGCAGGTTTTTCTTCTTCTTTTGTCTGCCAGCAGCAGGATGTTTGGCACTGTGCTGCTCTGCTGTTGGTCCTTCGGTCTGCTGCCGCTCGCCTCCTCGCTGGTTCATGGAAACTTACCGCTTGACAAAGGTCCTGTCAATGTTTTGAAAAAACAATGTTGGACTCTTTAGTTTTCTCTTGTTCCATCCCCAATCAGACCTGGAGCGACATGTTTAGCCGCATGTTCTCCTTAAATTGCTGGCTTAGTGGTGTCCATAAAACGATGTGGGCTTTATAGATAATTGCAAAACTTTCTGGAGGAAACCTGGTCTTGTTAGGAAAGACAGCATCCATCACACTTTGGATGGAGCAGCTCTCATTTATAAAAATCTGGCCAAAGTTATTAAATCCCCCAAAATGTGACTATTCAGAGTTGGGACCAGGAAGCAGAGTTACAGTCTTACATGTTCTCTGCAGCCTTTCTCCTCCTGTTATCCCCCTAAAATCCCATCCCCTTAGAAACTGTGTCAGCTCCCAAACACCAAAAAGCAAACTCGAAATTTGCAAGATAAACATGAAAAATTACAAAGAAAGACTAATACAGTATCCACATCTGCACCACAGAGTAAAACAGTGAGATGTGGAATATAAAACATTAGGTCTCTCTCTTCCAAGTCTCTGGTAGTACATGACTTTTTCAGTTTTTCAGTTCAATTCAATTTTATTTATACAGCACTAAATCACAACAACAGTCGCCTCAAATTGCTTTATATTGTAAAGCAGACCCTACAATAATATACAGAGAAAAACCCAACAATCATATGACCCCCTATGAGCAAGCACTTTGGTGACAGTGGGAAAGAAAAACTCCCTTTTAACAGGAAGAAACCTCAAGGAGAACCAGGCTCAGGGAGGGGCGGGGCCATCTGCTGCGATTGGCTGGGGCGAGAGAAGGAAGACGGGATAAAGACATGCTGTGGAAGAGAGACAGAGGTTAATAACAGATATGATTCAATGCAGAGAGGTCTGTTAACACATAGTGAGTGAGAAAGGTGACTGGAAAGGAAAAACTCAATGCATCATGGGAATCCCCGGCAGCCTACGTCTATTGCAGCCTGAAGGGGCCTGAAAACTGAAGGCTCTCCCTCCCATTCTACTTTTAAATACTCTAGGAACAACAAGTAGGCCTGCAGTGTGAGAGCGAAGTGCTCTAATAGGGTGATATGGTACTACAAGGTCATTACGATAAGATGGGGCCTGATTATTTAAGACCTTGTATGTGAGGAGCAGGATTTTGAATTCTGGATTTAACAGGAAGCCAAAACAGGAGAAATCTGCTCTCTCTTTCTAGTCCCTGTCAGGACTCTTGCTGCAGCATTTTGGATTAGCTGAAGGCTTTTCATTGAGCTTTTAGGACTTCCTGATAATAATGAATTACAGTCGTCCAGCCTGGAAGTAATAAATGCATGAACTAGTTTTTCAGCATCACTCTGAGACAGGATATTTCTAACTTTAGAGATGTTGCACAAATGG